TGATTGTCAAACTGGGTCTTATTATTCGGAAAATTGCTCATAAAAAAAAAACATTTAATCAAAATATGTATGAAAACTACAATTTAAGCAGAATTATCAATTTGATCAAATCAGTTTGCATTCAGTCTGGAGTCGCTCATTTGTTTGCCACACTTGTCGTTCACCTTGTGTGTCGTCAATGTTGAACAAAAGAACAATAATAATCTCAAAGTTAAACACACATTGGTGTACATTCAACAGAGAGAAAATTTAAATGTTGTTTGAAGACAGCGGTTAATTTCATATACAATTATTACGCCTGTGTTGTTCTTTTTTTCGTTCTTCATTCTTTTTTCGTTCATTCAAATTCGAATGAATTAGAAATACAAAATGTTTGTATTTGAGTTTTGAATAAACAAAAGATTTTCTAACGCATTTCAAATGTTTACGAGAGCAAAATTTTCAATGCTTGGACATTTTGAATGCGTATATTGAAATTCTGGTTATTTTTCAAAACAAGGTTATTCAAAAGATACACACAAAAAGTATTTAACAATAATGAAATTATAATTTTATTTGCCGAAAATTTTGAATACAATGAACATACAAAATAAAACCATTAGTGTAAATATGCTCGAATTACTACGTTATTATAATATTATCGCATTGAAAATGTTTCTATTTTCATTTATTTTATTCGATGATAAATGTCAGTTGCCAATGGCAAGAATGGCTATTGTATTTTTGGCATTTTGCACCGGAATGTGTTTCCGGTGTTGTTTTTCCGCGAGAATTCTGTGTGCCAATTGAATGTGGTGTTTCGAGCACTCTTCGTCAAATCGTATAATCAATTTGGAGTAGTTTCACATGACATTTCGCATTTGATGGAATTTAAGCATTGCGAATACTGCATGCAGCAAACTATCAAGATAAATCATCATCATTTTCAAAAGTTTCATCGAGCTCAGCGCAGCAATAATTGACATAAACGCTGTACCAGTACGATGTGATTGATTGTTTCATTAGAAATTGATGTTGCTGTTTAAGTGCGATATAGTTTTGTGCCGAAACTAAACGCAAAATCACTTATTGGTGTTGATCAATATCTCGATGTTCCGATTTTTTTGTTCGTTTGTCGTCGCTACTTCAGAGCTGTCGATAATTTTGAGTGGAAAATTCAATATACCATTGAGCGGCAATTGATAGAGCGCAAAATGGATGCATGCAGCCACTCAACGGTGCCAATGTGGGACATGTTGTGTGATTAGTGACTTAAGTTTAAAAAGTGATGAATGGATGCCATTTCTTTGTAGAGCGTTTAACGAATTAGCCAAAATGTCGGTCAAATTCAACGATACCATAAATCTGCAGCAATGTGTTAATAAGAAGCGTTCAGTGTCGATTTTTCTTTCTACAGAGAAAAACACCACTTTATGTCATTTTCAAGCAATTTTTCTGTCGCGCTTCAACTTCAGTCTTGCGCGCGTTCATAGTCGTCGCGTTTAAAAAGTAAAACTTTTATCGATATGATCTCTCGACCTTAAAACAATTTTTATCTTGCCAAAAAAACAGAATAAAGCTCAGCGGTAAAGAACCGTTTCGCTGAAACATTTTTACGCGCCACATAACGGGCACACATCCACCCACACGCACATATATATATATATACTATAGCTAGAGAGTCAGAGAGATATCAGTCTGTTGTTGTCGAAGTTGTGTCGCGACAGAAGGTGTCGCCTCCCCCATTCATTCAACACAATTCATTCGTTGTACGTGTGTATAATTTTCATCTTGGGAAATCTATGGCATCGAATTTAAGACGTATTTCATTGGAGACTTTTGCACACTTCGTTGCCTTTTAATGGATACTTAACGAAGTTCAACGGAAAAAAAATATTGCCCAAATTGACCGAGGTGATTACTTTCCATTTATCCAGCTGTTCAATATCAATTTTCCCCACTCTCGCCACCATATGACGTGACGTTTCTTCTCTCTCTCTCTCTCTCGCTCATCGGAATTTATGCTTGGCACATCGATTTTTCGAACGCAGAAAAATTACGCTGAGCTCTTTTATGATGGTTTTTTTTATTATTTCCCCATAATTCATTGGATTATCGCATTTGTTTCATTCATAGCGGTTGTGTTTGGTTTTTTTTTTGAAAATTGAGTTTAAGTCGTAGCTGGAGATCGTCTGTGCCGAATTTTTGATTGGGTTTGTCGTAAATTTCCTTCTGCCATGTTTTTTGGTGTGTGCTTATATGGATTTTTGTTTCGTTACGGATTAGTTGCTTTTGCTGTGCCAAAATAAGAACGAGAAAAAAATCGAACAGCAAAACAAATAAATTCATTCAAGTGCTCTATTAATCTTCTTAACATTGGGAAGTGAAAGAGCGATGCTATAAGTACGCTCCAAATACAACGATGAGGAAACGTATAAAAAATTTAATCTTCAAAAGCCAAGAAGCTTCCGTGCACGTTTGGCTTGAAAATGAAAAGCCATATGATCGACAGATTAAGGTAACATTTACGGAATTCGATTACTCGAGACCAATTTTACCTTTCACCATACGGTTCAAGTGCGCAAATTGAACTTAAAGAACGGTAAGGAATTCTCGTCAATACAAACAACAACGAAATTTATAACCGAATACAGCAAGTAAATAACTTGTGTGCATCGCCGTACAACACTACACACTCGAGAGAGAGAGAAAGAAAGAGAAAACGCATTCAAGCTTCGGTGCTCATTATTCGGTTGTGTGCAGCTTACAGTACAGTGCATAATCAGCATTCATCGACCGTACGAAAATTTATGCATCAGCAACAACATAATTAATCGGAAGTGTTGTAATGGAAATGCACACAAACTGGCATATCGAATGAAACGTTTATCGACAAGGAAATGCACAACGCAATACCATCCGGCTGCGTCTTGCTGCTCTCATCATTCCATTGCATTTTCATCTTTGTTAGTCGCCCCCAAAATCCTTATCAATGTTCATTGAATTGAAAGCACGAGAAGTTCGATTTAAAGGACAAAATTGTCGAAATAAATTCCAACCGAAAATGCAATTTTTTCCGATGTTCACTATAGTCTCACTGTGCACTCGCATTCGCAGTTGATTAATTTTTGAGATGTGGTTTTTCGCCACAAATGTCTGACGATCGATAAAACCCGTTCCAAGAATCAAGATTAATATTACTCTACTGTCCACTTGTCGTCGTCGATGTTGATTATTATGCTCACCAAACGTCCTGAAATTTACTATGCTTGGCAGAGAATTAAGACAATCCATTGCACTTGGTCTTGGCAACTCTGTTGCTACCATTCGAATAAACAAAATTGAATTTTTTTTAATTCATGATTTAAACTAATTTATATTGGCGGAATTCTCATTCAACTAAATAAAACACACTTTATTTTAATACAATATTTTGTTTATTGATTTTTAATAATTAATATTTCAGATATCACGAAATAATTGGGGTGCATGCATATGCATATTTGCTTTTTTTAAATTATATTTATTTAATTCCTCCCGGAAGACCACCCGTAACACCCTGGAATGTCTTCTGTGCTGCTTCCATAGCTCCTTGTCCAGCATTAGCTAAACCTTGTCCAGCATTAGCTAAACCTTGTCCCGCATTTTTAGTTGCGTCAAAAGCGGAAGTCATAGCATCTTGTGCAGCTCCAGTGGCACCGCCAGCTGTGCTTAGTCCACGTTGCAGAAATTCTAAAGGATTCATTCCATTCATCAGCCCTAGAGGATTAATGGGGCTACCATTTGATGAGCCAGCAGTTGATGAGCCTTGATTTGGTAACAGTTGGCGAAAGAAAGCTTCACACAAAAATTAGTTTAATATTATATTCACATCAAATTTCCATCCAAAGCTCTAACAAACCAAAAAAATATATGATGAAATGAAAGTAAAGAAATGGTCTTTTTGAAGTTTAACTCAAGAAATTTTCTTTCTAACTGTAAACCAAGCGATGTACGCTCAATTTTTACACACGCCCAAAATGTTCTGAGTTTGGTTCGGCTATGGCCAAATCTATATTTGATATCAAATGTTGTGGTACACATCTACCGACGTGTCCACAGCCTAGCTGACTAATGGCATATCGATACAACTTGACCTAAATTTTGATTTTCAAAATGTCAAGATTTGTTTCGCGCTGAACTGTGAACTAGGCTTCAACGTGCGACTTACCAGTGAAAGGATTTAAACTATCGACCATGTCCGCACCTCCTGCCGCCATTTTAGAGAACATGTCAACTACTTGTCTCGTCGGACCAGTGCCAACGCTATTCTGTTGTGCTGAAACACAGGCCAATGTCACCAAAACACATACAACGATTAATTTCATTTTGAAAATTCGCGATATATCTCTCAAACGTTGCCCAAAATTTACTGGATTCTTACTGACTGAATCTCATAGCTCTCAATCTTCTTTTATACTAAAATGAGTGTGACCAAAATAGTCTGCTTGTATCCATAGGCTCACCAATGTTTAAATATACATCCGATAAAAATATCTTTTGTTTCAATTTCAAACAATGTTTAATTGTGTTTTGAACAAGAAATCGGCTTCAATTCATTTTGAAATACGAGTAAGGAAGAGATACAGACACGATAATTACGACATCAATTTCGAAAACCAAACAATTCGGTTTTATTTGCTAAATTGTCGCTGCCAACAGAATATGAATAATGAATTAACTTGCAAAATGAAATGAATGTAAACAACTTTTCGAAATGCAAAGAATATGGTTGAAATGTAAATTTGTCATTGGCAAATTTGCGGCTTCATTTTCGCACAAATATTTTTCACTCAATATTATTTACTCAGACATTTTGTCGCATTCAAACAATGTACTGTTTTTCGTAGCCCAAATAACAATCAATTGAAAAAAAAAACACAAATTTGCCAAGTTGTTTTACATCAAATTGAATGCTAACAATTTGTTACCTAGAAATTGACAACAATTTTAAATTAAAAGTGAGCACAAGGCTGCAAATGATACTTTTTTTTATTTGAATACATTTTCTCGTTTTTTTTTCTAATCTTAAATAAATAAACGCGTAATATCTTAGATTCTGGGATAACCATCATTGACGGTGATTTCCATTGACTATAGAAAGCAGTTTTATCGTCTCAAACAAAATGAGCCATAAAATACCTGTTTCAATATAATAGGCATGTAAACAATTAATTTAGATGAACGTGATCAAATTCACCGATGAAACGAAATCGAATGGCATTTTCACACCCAAATTGTATATGTTGTCCAAATGCTTGAAACGTTCCAATCAACGTACTGTGCCATCGTTGTTTTGGTTTTGAATATCTTCATCTATATATATATAAATCGAATTCACATACAAAAATGGCATGTATTATTGCTCTTGAAGCGACAATTTTGCCTTCAATTGGGGTGGTGATTTTCCGGCATTTACCTGTTTTTTTTTGTCTCGTGCCATTTACGTGCGATACCTTCAAATGATTGGCTTTACATGCGACGAGAGCACAAATGTTTGGTGTCATTTGAATTGATCCAATTCAAAGTGAGAAACCATTCTGAAACAGGAACTCGCCCAAAGAAAGTAGGTGAGAACGAAAAAAAGTTGGATTTGTAGTAAAGAAAATCGGTAACATATGTGGCATCCTGTGTTACGCAAAAGAAAGCCATTTGATGTGGCTATAAAATGTGAGCTCCTCGGCAAAAGGCTGAAGCATCTGTTCGGTTGAGAGCATGGATATGACTCCAATTCTACCTTCAAGTTCAATATTTACAAAAGGAATGTGTCGTATGTGTCTGCTTCTGTGTGAAAATTTGGTATAAAAACACAAGGGCCGTCTTTTAAAGAAGAATGGCTTAGCTGCTATTTGGTGGTTTAAGAATTGCAACATGTACGGAATGTAAATTGATGAACATTAAAATGGTTGCCATAGAAAATATCATCGAAGAAGCATTATGGTGCCAATATATGGTAAGCGATGAGCGATGGGAACGAACGAAAGTCAGCCGAATGGCATAATGAGAGCCGTTTTGCGACAAACAAACAAATGTGAAAAGTGTCGAAGGCTCAACACAGAGCTTTCGCTTCGATGAATTGAGAAGACGACAAATAAGAAGAAAAATAACATAAAAAAATCATAAAGCATCTCGACACAATCTCCCCGGACATGAATAAAAGAAATCAACATACTCACACACACGCACTTAAATGCAAAGCACATAAATCGATTCCAAGTCATTTTCCGAGTGAACGATTCGTATTTGAATTTAAAATGAAGGCACCGCAACGTACATGCCATTGTTACAAGTTGTGACACGAAATGAAAAATAGGCGACTTGATGACACTATATCTATACAAACGAAATTGTGGCGCATAGTGTACAAACTAGTGTTGCAATGACGTGGCAAGTCGATGCAGAGGTGTGATTGCCAAGCGAAAGAAATGTTGGGCTAGGATGAAAGTGATGAAGAGATGGAGAGAGAGAGGAAAAAACGACGTCAGGTTGCTAGGTAGACTGAATGCCAAATGTCGAATCATGTGGCATCAGACTCAATGTGGCTTTGATTGGATGCAGAAGCAAATCGAAATTTACATGAATAATGTGGATACACCTTTACTATGATAATCGCATCCTTTGCCATTCGATGTGAAATTAAAATTCCACTCGATTCAATAGAGAACCGACAAACTCTGTTCACCATATACACACACGAATGACAAACCATTGTGGTTGAAAACTTCACAAAAACTTGACAAGCTTAAAACCGAAAATCTTCTGTCTCTCAACATGTTGAGAGCACAGGTGTTTATTGCACTCCTGACTTCATTTTATTGCATTTTTTCGATCAAGTTTTAGTGGCATTTAATTTTCACAAAAGCCAATGGCAAGTGACACAATAGATGCGACAGCTTTAGAAAAGTTCACCGAACTACAAGTTGTGCGGAATATGAGGTATGCCAATCCGAATGGTGTCAACGGAGGGATTTCGAGTAGAAAAATCGTGTTCACTTTCAAAACTTATGGGAATTGCGATTCACTTTAAAATGACACGCAAGTCAAGAGATTTCTCGAATATAAGTTACTCGACATCATCCTTTGCTTCGAAGTAGCAACGCTTGACGCTCACACACACACACACACACACACACACACACACATACAGTCGCGTACAATCCACTGGAATGATGTCGCTTTTGAAGTGGTTGCGGAACAACAGACATTCTATGAAATTCAATAACAAGCGCAACATATCACGTGATGTCAACTATCTTGTGAACTCTTGTGTGTTCGTGTGTTCTTCACCATGAAATGTATAAACTCAATTGGGTTTAATTGTGTATTTCAATCTAATCCCTTATTTAATTTTACCACTTTCGAATCCAATTGAATTGAAGATTGTCGTTCAATTTGAATCTTGAAGCAAAAAAAACGTGTAGATGCCCGAATTCGGAATTAGAAGCTTTGTTGCCATCGCGAGTTCTAGCTCCATCATTCCCCTTTCAGCCAATAAGCCGTAAAAGTTACTTGGTTACGTAATCACTCTGTCGTTAACAACGAAAACTCCGCTTTACGGGGAAATTCGAGCCAAATCCTCTGTTATTCGATCAATTGTAATTACGATAATAAGTGCGATAATTGGTATTAGAATTTCTCGGTATGCTGGGCGTTACCAAACGGAAATCGATTCAAATTGTACACAATCAGATAAAGTATTTGCGGAAACACCAATTTAAATCGCATTATGTTTATGAGGTAGTTACCGCAAAGTTTAAACCTAATTCAGACGGATATTGCGGAAAGATTTATGACAGCTTCAAGGCATGTACGAAACTCGGCACATGCACACACAAACGCCAATACGATTTGTTTCTCGGCATCGTTCGGCATGAACTTTTCTTCACCAAAACCGAAAAAAAAAACAAACACAGAAAACAAACCGCAATTTCTTCGTTTATTTGATCACATTTCACGGGAAAACGATTTGCGCCTTTCGTGCTCTTTTGTCTCAAATGTCAGATAAGTAGACAAGCATTGTTTTATTCTTCCTTCATACATATACAAATTGTGTACCCTCTTGTGCCATACCGAAAAAAGGGTGAAAACAAAAGTTGACCTATTTTTTTTTTCATTCGTATTACCTTTCGTTTTGGCACTGTCACTTTCAAACGGAAAGGTGTAAAGTATGTGCAGAAGAATTTTCACCTTCAAACAATGAACAAATGTGCGAAAAGGAAACGAGATTGAAAAGAAGAATAGAAGAATGAATTGAATACGTCACTCGTTGATGTGGCAAGCATTCCAAAAATTTGTTTTCGTTTTTGATTTAGAAAAAAAAGAGTGGGAGAGCAACAAGAATGGGAGCGAAAGAAAAAAAAAAACAGAGAAATTGTTGGCATTCTCTCAATACGTGCATTCTTTGCTATTCTGTTTCATTGGAGGTCGCAATAAAACTCACCGAAAAGAATACAGATAAAAACTTAACAGACATGTTGAAAAAAGTTGGTCGTGAAAATGGCAATCACTAAATTTTGCGCTATAAACATGGCTTTTCATTCTCTTTCATTCTTTCTCACTCTCTCTCTCTCGTCTTCTCACTCCAACTATCTACATAAAATTCAGTGTTGAAAACAATGCGGTGTCAACGCATACGCCACAAAAGCATCGTCATTGCCATCATTTTACGCTCAAATACGAATAAATCATCTATATAAAGTTGAACTTGTACTGAGACAGAGTGTGTGAGAGAGAGAGAGAGAAAAAGAGGTAGGGAGATGAAGAGCAAAACAAATTTATGCGTTGTTTTATTTTGTGCGAAAATTCAGCTGTTTTAATGTGTTAAAATGTTCAGTTGACTATGAACCAGCGAATGGTGCGGATGATGGTCGTTTGCCAAATGCCGGCTTTTATAGATGTTGCTTTTTTCGTAAGCGTATTCGATAGTGTAGCGGGTTTCGTGTGAACGTATACAAAGTTTTTCTTGCATAAGAAGTGGGTTCTACATCTGTACATCTGATACTCTGGCACATAACGATTTCCGCATCTCACATCGCATGCTTTTACGGGATGTGTGTTTTATTAATCATTTTATTTTGGTGAATTTCCTCGGTGGCATCCTTGATGTGGTCGTGGTGAGATGGTGATGGTGATGGTGATGGTGATGGTGATGGTGATGCAGTCGGATTTTCAGCTAATCTTCGCACTATCACTGTAATCCAATAGCTTTTCGGTTTTGCATATATGGTTGGTTGGCTGTAAAAAGCTTGGGTTTTATTGCATGAACATTTTCATTTGATAATAATTATTATCATTAAAGAAGTCGTAACCGAAACGCAATTTAAGTACGGGTAACACATTTACGGTGAAACGAGAAAAAGTGCACAAACTAAACATTTTAGCAGCCACAAAAAAAATGCTTGGATCAAC